GACTCATGTTCTTTTTAGCCTAGAATTTCTTTATGGAATGTATCACTTTTAATGCATATTTTACAAGTGCCTTTCTTGACAGGGAATTTATCTACAGTATTTTTGCCTTTTGTATCCAAAATGAAAAAGTCCATGACTAATTAGTGGAAAGTGAATTACGCATAATGTTATGTAAATAGAAATATTTTCCTATAGCCTTTTTTTAAAAAAAGTTAAAATATCTCTGATTTTTCTTAAAAACAGATTTTGCTTTTTTTATTCCTTCCCAATTTTATAAAAGTAGGATTTTTTTGATGAAACCTTGTTTCTAGTTATAAAAAACTAAGGTAATGAAAAGAACTATTATAATCTTTCCTTATAAAAGGACAAAGGTATTGCATGTGTGTAATATGTGATATGTATTCATACAAAAGTAGTGAACCTACTTGCATGGAGACAACTTCCTCATGTTGTCACATGAAGTGCTCTGGAGCAGTAGTTTCCCTTCTGATATCTGAAGCGCCTTGAGGAACAGTGTAAGGAGAGGAAGGATAAACATGCATGGTTATACATTTTTTACATTTTTTAAAAAATTTCAATTGGGCTTACAGATTTGTTGATTATTTTATCAAAAGCGGGAAAAGTGTCCTGTAAAGACGGCATTCAATTAGGCTAGCTCATGGTATCATGGATTGCACTTCTAATTACATAAGGCAAGATAATGTAGACCTATAACCATTTGGGGAGGGTAAAAGCCATGGGGTAGTTAATTGGACCTCATGTTTTTAGAGGCACCTGATAATCCTATGATATAGATCATTTAGATTAAAGAAAAATCATCCTCAGTGGGACTTAGTTTTAGACGATTCCATCAAATATCAAAGGGATGCTTTGATTTAATTCTCACACTGTGATCTGTGGCTTCAGAAATAACACACTGGTGATAACAACATGTGACAACAAAAGTCTCAGAGCTGCTCCAGGTCGTGGGCTCTGCATGCTTGTTTGCACCATCAGACTTACCTCTCTCTAAGTGCTGTGGTTTCAGGAAGGTAAACAATAGAGCACGTGAAGTTGGGAGAGAAAAGCTGAGTAAAGCTAATGAAAAAATGGAAGCTTAAAAAAAAACCACTGGAGTTTATGTGAAGGATAGTATAAACTGAAGGGAACGTCTTTTGAGCAGATGATTCTAGCAGTCTTTAGGGATATGTTTTTGAAGGTCTGCTCAACATGAAGTCTCAGTTGGATTGAGATTAAGTGAAAGAATTTTCAGTAGAAATGAAACCTTGACATTACATCAGGCTATAAAAGAGATACAAATCAGGGGTATTTTAATCCTGTTTCTTTAGCTCTGGTCAGGTCTCTAACCTGACATTTCTTGACATGCTCCATTCCAAAGCTGAGTCAAATGCCTGTGAGGTGAACTCTCTTGTCATCCTGTATTTAAACTGCAATAGCTGCATGTTATTGCTGCAAAACTGGTCTTTCTAATTATCTCCGTCTCTGATCATTCTTGTTCTATAGGGATAGAGAAGAAAAACATCTTGCCTTGTTTGCCACTATATGCACAATACCTACCAAACACATATCTGCCACTTAGTATTTTAAAACCAAAATCTGTTGATTAAATGAATGAATAATTGGACAAGTGTTTATGTGCAGAATCCAAATGACATAGTAAAAAACTTTCTTCAGTGATCTATGATAAACTTTGTGAATTAGAGATCTTTTGCCCCTCAAATGACTTCATAATTATCACCTTCAAATGGGTAAATTACTAAAATACATTCCTCATGAGGTCCTGAAACTTGAAAACATCACTCTTAAATTTGAATTGCTGCTGTAAAATGATATAGCACGTATGTTTCAGAAACAAAATCTATACCTATTTATAATTTGGTGAGAACTCATATTGAGCTATAGTGCTTTAAAATATGTGTAACTAAATTGAAATTTCTTGAGTCATCATTTGAATTGGGTGTAAATCATGTCAAATCTGCTCGTTAACCTACCCCTCACCCCAATGCTTGAATAACAGAGACATTCTTTTAAAAAAACAGAGCCATTCTTTTGTATCTTATTTTTGTTAGCCTTCTGCAGTGTATTTGATTTCAAATAATTTCCACCTTTAAAATTCAAATAAAATTTTTTAATGCAAACACAACTTTTAAAGCACAGAAGAAACACCAGTAGCCGCTTTCAGGAGTAGCAAAAGATAAGTCATGTCTTCAGTTCTTCCCATTGCTTCTTGGATAGCATAAGAGGCTGTAGACATGAAATTGGAAAAGCGAGAGGACTCTCAAAGAGCATTATTGTTGAGTTGTCTCTTACTTCTCAGTGTACTCTGATTCTGTTAGGATTGCCCCCTCTCTCCTGTTTTTACTTAATTTATTCTGAAAAGGTGGCAGGGAAGCCACCTAGGTTCCCCTTCTCACTTCGATCTCTCCTGCGTATGTGTAAGTGTGAAGTGGTTTTACCACACTTCCTTTTTGAACAGTAAGGAATCATGTCTGGGAGCCCACACCTGTTACCTTGCATGATGATGCTGGGGATGAGGAAGCAGGGGGATGGATGCTGCCCCTGACAAGGTGCTGGCTGGGAATCCAAAACAGCAGCAGTAGCAGCAGCAATAACAACAATAGCAAAAGCAGAAGCAGCAACAGCATTGGCCGCAGCAACAAAATCAGCAATTCACAGCAGCCTCCGGGTTACAGAGGGGACTCTTGTCTTCTCCCACCTTTACAGCTGAACCCCTTGTCCTCTCCCTCTTGTCTAATATTTCACTGATGTTTCTTCAAAAACTATGACAGGTTGACAGAATGGACCTCTACACAACTAATTTAATATTTTCTCACAGTGTGCTCTAAGTTGGATCAGAAAGACTGCCTGTGGTCTTACGACATCCCATAGTTTATTTGGTTGGATGAAGGTAGCAAGTCCTTCTGCAGGCCCTTCACGAAGTATCAGCAGTCCAGTCCTCTGCCCTGCCCCCCATCCCCACCTGACCCCTCTGAAATGAACACACGCAAATGTGCCATGCTCTTCCACATTCTAGTGTCTTAGCCCAGACTGTTCCTTGCAACTGAATAATGCTACCATCCTTTCAGCCTGGTAAATTTCTTCCAAACCTTTGATACCCTAGAAAAATACTACTTCCTTCCTCTGCCCAGTCATAATCTAATCTGCTTTTTTGAATTCTGTGTCGCCATAGATTCCTGTGAAACTTTAATCAGAGCTCATATTACACTGTATTGCGTGCAATTTTAAAATATCAGCATCTCTTCTCCATAAGGCCCCTGAGCTCTATACACCAGTATGACTAGATCATCAAATAGAAATACTGTAGCCTTGAAGACATTACTGCTAAGTAATGGAATAGGATGTGTGTGTGTGTGTGTGTGTATGTGTATGCATATCCGCAGGCCTGGATTTCATATAGTTTTGAGATGAAGACCTGTTAACATGAAGTTACATCAAGTATGGGGAGGATATAAGCATTAGTCATCTAGGAGAAAAATCTTCCTGGTTTGTAGAACTTTACCAACAAACTCTACACTTCCTAATAATAATTTAACACAACCAGTGATAGAGAATAGTTTGAAGAATTATATGAGACATGACTAATGTTACAGTCATTGCCAGTATTTACTGCAATTTGTATTTGCTTGGCTTAATTTAAGATCACTGCCTTTATATCTAAGTTTGTTTATTAGATTGATTATGCTAATTTGAAAAATTCTCTTTGCTAAGATTTTATGGTTTAAATGATTAAATTTCTACCTCCAGAGCTGTCCTTAGTGCTCTAGCAAAGAGGATTTAGGAGCTCTAGTCTTCTTGGTAGAGAAAGCGTATAGCTACTGTATAGTAGCACTATCTGTGAAACTTGAGAAACTTCCACTATTCATGGGTGGGGGGCAGTGGGATGTGGGTGCTGATGAAGATTAAAAGAGGCTTGATGCCTTCTTTGTACTGCCAGGACTCTGAGGAGGTAAGGGCCTGTATTACAATGGGAGGGATGGGAACAAAGGAATGTGTAGAAGAGATGTTTCAAAGGAAACATTTACAAGACTGGAATAAGTCATCCATAGGCCTGGAATGGTTGGGTTAGGATGATGAAAGAATAAAACAAAAATGAGCAAGTTAAGCATAGCAAACACTCAGAATTTGAGCAGCCACCTTGGGTGGGGCAGGGAAAGGTAAAGTCACTTAAGTCAACTTGAAGATTATCTCCTTTGCGGTGTATCTGTAAATACTCTTTAAGTCTTTATGAGAGATCAGTAGAGGCACAAAGTTTACTCCAAAAGCTTGACAACTGCTTTGTTGCTTTTCTTCATATTTTGACATCTTCTGCCCAATCCTTAAAACATTTGGCTAGCTAAGGAGAAAATGGACAAAAGTAAATTTAAGACCTTGCTCCATCTCCTTCCTTTGTCATCAAAACAGTGTCACCTCAGGTAAAGTAAAATGCTGAATTATTTACAGCCTTAACCAGAAATGTATAAAATAGCCATCTTCCAGTCTGAGGAGGATGGCTACCTTTTCCTGGCAAAATTTGAGGAGCTGAGAGGGCTGGCCTGCAGGGTAGGATGAGGAAGATGAAGAGCTTTTCCCAGCCTCCTGAACTAGGTGGATCTCAAGAGTGTGCTCTCCTTCCTCGACAGTGTTTGAGATTTCAGAACATTAGTAAACCTACAGGTACTTTAAGAGTATGTGTGGCAAGCAGTAGTGCCCAAATATGTATTTGAATAAATACATATTTTTGGTATCTCCTCAAAAAGTTCACTCCTCGGCCATGTGTTGCATAGGGACATGCCTTTCCATCTTGCTTTCTGAGTGGGAAATCAAGTGAGAATGGGCCATGGTGCATGTGGTTCTTCCGTGCCCACCACAACACCAGTGCAATCGATGGGTGGGTCTGTGCATGACTTCTAGTACACTGCAGGCCACAGCACACCAAGATACTGAGGCTTGTGTTTTGCTGCAGTCACCGCCCATTCTAATCTAGCTTTCTTTTCTTACAGGTGCACACATCTTGACCAACTCAGCAGCAAGGTGGATTTTCTTTGTGTTTAAAGAAAAAAAAAATGTGCCCGTGTCTGTAGAGATGATTTACAGTTCAGCCCGGCTGAAGCTGACCGAATGAGACTATGGGCTGTGCCTCCGCCAAGCATGTTGCCACTGTTCAAAATGAAGAGGAAGCCCAGAAAGGGAAAAACTACCAGAATGGAGATGTGTTTGGCGGTGAGTCCTATCAAACTTGACTCTTGACCCATTGATTCTAGGCCTTTTACTTTTTTTTATTGATACATAATATTTGTACATATTTATGGGGTGCTTGTGATATTTTGTTACCTGCCTAGAATGTGTAGCGATCAAGTCAGGTTATGTAGGATATCTGTCGCCTCAAGCATTTATCATTTCTATGTGTTGGGAACATTTCAAAACCTATCTTTGAGCTATTTGGAAATATACAGTACATTATTTTTAACTCTAGTCAACCTACTCTGTTATGGAGCATTAGATCTTATTCCTTCTAAGCCTTTCACTTTTGTGACAGTGAATAATTACAGTGATTATTGGGTTATATCATCTGAGGTGAAGGGGTGATGAGACCCACTGGAAATCAATGTGAATCTTTACTTTGGATCTTCTACATCATAATTTATACAAAGTGGTCTTTGAGGAGGAACATGGAGATTTTTTTTTTGTTTTTTTTGTTTTTTTTTTTTCACAGGAACTAGCATTTAAATCAAGCTTCAAAGAACCAGCAGGATTTAAATTGGTACGTGGGACAGTGGCCATGGGGTGTCCTGGTAGAGGAGAACTATAGGACTAAAAACAGAAGTCCAAAAGGGGAGTGAGTGAGGATTTATAAATGAGGGAGTGAGGTGTTTTTTTAAAGCGTAATAGAGAGTGAACTGTACATTTTCAGATTTTAAATAGAAATACAATGAGTCCAATAATAATCTTTTAACCTCTCTCTGTTGACTCAAAATGACTTTAGGATATCTAGTGCAAAGGCCACAAATTGGCAAACCATGGCCACATCTGGTCTGCAAATACATTTTTTTGCCCCCTTCCCAAAGAATTTTAAAATAAAAAGCAAGGCAGCCTTTAAAAATCAGGATATTTCAAATAAAACCCAAATTTCTTCAAAAGAGCTGGCAACAATAGGTCTTCATTCCTTGAGACAACAGTGGGGGGTGGAGTAGCAATTGCCCCTGCAGCCAGGCTGTGGCCTCCAGTGAACGGCTAACGCTTCCTCCCTGCGTGCACACCAAGTTCAGTTTGCTCATTGACATTACCTGGCCACTTAGAGGCTTTTATGCTTGCCTGATCTTGAGATTGGCCCTTAGAGGATTATTGTGAAATTTGGATATATAAACAAAATTTCAATTAGTACAAGGCAGATGAAGTAGTTTTTGTGGAATTATTTTAATAATAATACCTACTACTTGACATTTGCATGATAGTTTTATTTATAAAAACACTTCAACTCTTACTCATTAAGGGACATCATTGAGATATGTTGTAGAACCTCACTGAGATAATGTTTACATGTAAATAACTGTAGCTGCATCATTTAGTCACTGTCAAATAATTCTACTACTTTTAGAATCTCTAGCTTTTGGTTCATTGTAATGATTGTTTTAGTCTCCTGGTGAAGAATTGGGAATGGTACGAAAGAGCTAATGCTCCCTTGAAAGTGGACTCGTGTGTTTGGGATGGAAGACTTCGTTTCACTTTGTTCCAAGAAGATGCATTAGTTGCCTGGAACAAATTCGCTTCTACTGGTAACTACCTATAGCATGGAGAACTGTGAAGAAGAGTAACATATATGAACATTTTAATAAAACTACAGTCTAGATCTTTGAAACCACAGTTTTTACGGAAAGAGTTGATTGGAACTAGAGTCATTACCATCACCCTCAAATGCTTAACTTTTAAGAGAAAATAATTTAACATCAGGGATTTGTTTAACTTCTAGCTTATGTTCTGTGTCATTATCATTTTTATAATAGAGCTACCATTTATGGAGCCGCCACCATATGTCAAACATTGTGAGGCATTTACATTCATTTTTATGTTGAATTTTCACAACAATCTTGTGAAATATGTGCTATGCAAATTTTACATACTTGGGAACTGAGCACAGAGAGACGGACTTGTCCAAGATTACCCAGCTACGAAGTGCTAGAATCCAGATTGCTCAGACTCCAAAGTCCACCTTTCTTTCTCCATGTTGTTTCCTGATGCCCTGCAGCAGCCTCCCATTGTTTTTTTTTTGAGACAGTCTCGCTCTGTGGCCTAGGCTGGAGTACAGTGGTACGATCAGGGTTCACTGCAGCCTTCACCTCCTGGGCTCAAGTGATCCTCTCGCCTCAGCTCCCTGATAAAGGCATGTGCCTTCACACCTGGCAATGTTTTTTTATATTTTTAATAGAGATGGGGTTTTGCCATGTTGCCCAGGCTGGTCTAAAACTCCTGGACTCAAGCAATCTGCCCACCGTGGCCTCCCAAAGGGCGGGGATTACAGGCGTGAACCACCGCAGCCAGCCCTCATTCTTTAAAGTATGAGGGCACAAAAGTATTGATTGGTCTGTATCCTATGTGTAAGGCCTTTTGCTAAATGCCATGGAGATTACAGAGGTAAATAATCCATAAACCTTGCCATCTAGGACTTTGTAAGAAGATAAGAAAGTGTTACGAAGCAGAATAAGCCAAATACCCTAAGAGGAAATGACATACCTCACGATAACAGTCAGGGGATAGATGCTCTGCCTTAAACGGCAGAATCAGAGCAGATTTCTCACAGACATGACATCCAAACCTGTCCTTAAAGGACTGAAAGAAATGAATCCTGTCACAATCTAAACTGGTAAAGGAACAGCTAGGTAATGTGAGACTTATTCAAGAATAATAAATATTCTAATTTATGGAACTAATGAATGGAACATAAACTATAAATGGGACAGAATTGGCTAGAAAACTAAGTTAGGGTTAAATTATGGAGAACTTCGAATACCAAATGACAGTCTTTAAAAAGATAACCTTAGATTGTCAGAGCAAGATTTGGTGATATTCAATATGTTGTGTTTACATTCTGCTTGGCAATGAGACTGCTTAACCATCCGTTCACAACCTGTATAGCCAGGAAGACTCTATTGTTCTAAAGCACCATGTGTATTTTGCAGATGTTAGCATCTGATAAAGGAGCTTTGTGTTAGTCAACTATTGCTGTAGACTGTAACAAACTCAGGTTCAGTCACTCGTGACTTGCAGAGTCTAATTCACAAGAGCGAGGTCTGGCATAAAGCAAGTGACTTTATTCCACAGCTTAGCTTGGGGGAAGAGGTACAGGCTCCTGCCTTTAAGGGTACTGTTTCTCTTTTGGGGCAGAAAGCATGGACTTTTAAAGGGGGACTTGGCATGAATGGCATCCAGGGGAGGGAGTAAGCAGGTGGGGGTCTGCGCGACTCGCTTTGGTGCTTAATCTACTGTTGGTCGAACTGACGTCATTGCAAGCAGAGCTAGGTTGTATAGTGGTCTTTGTCTCAAGACACTCTCCAGTTGGGAGAGCCTTCCATCAGGGACATACTTTAGGTTGTAAATTGATTGTTGTCTCTTGAGGCAATCTCCTTGTGGGAGACAGTTTCTGCTCTGGAGTTTCAAAGTAAGCACATAGTTAGATAAGCTTCCAGTGTAGGGAGTGTCTGGTGAAGGGAAGGTAAAGGTTATGATTGCATTTCTGAAGAGCTAGATAGGAAATGGGAACAGAGGAAAAGAAGGAAAGAGAAAAGAAGAAATAATTAAATAAATAACTCTCTCTCTTAGAAAAATGGGGGTACTTGGTTATAAGACACCTGAAGCTCTCAGTCGCATTCGAAAGTAATTGTTTCTTTCTTGATTATGAATTGGTGGGTCAGCTGCGGTGGCACTTCTCTATGTATCTCTCATCTTTCCCCAGGGACCAGCGAGCCAGTGGGGGCATGATCTCCTTTCACAGAAGGGCAAGAGTGCAAGTGATACGTGTGGTGCCTCCTAAGTTTGGACTCAGCTGGCGCACTGTCACTCACACCCTAGCCAAAGCAGGTCACATGAGTGAGCCCAAAGTTAGGCAAAAAAGTATACTCTGACCACAGTGTATTTACAGCAAGGGTATAGGTGCAGGGAGGGTCAAGAATTGGGGCTAAAAATCAGTTTACCCCAAGCCCACCTGGTCACTGCTATCTCTGTGCCTCTATGTAGTTCATGCCATAAAATGTCAGTTAAGGCCTCTGCTAAATTTTCTTCATCTTCCCAACACCCACATTGAAATTTTATTTACTCCAGCATTCTATCATCTTGTTAATCTCTCTAACATAAATATTAGCAAGTTTGTGGGATTGTGTTAAATAAAGCAGGAATACAATGGGGAGAGAACGTCACCAATCAAGGGAGATACTTTTTGTAGCCCTGTAGGGCTCTGGGGGAAGAATTACCAGAATCCAATGTCAAGACAGTCCCAGTACTCTAGATATTACTGAATACCACATTTTAAATATGACGAGGGAAGGTCTTGTCTGTGTTTCTTCACTTAAATTAATTTGCAAGAAGAAGTTTTCAAAATCCAACAATGATCACACATGGTGGCAGATGAGTGATAGGGATAGGCCCACTTTTTAACCATTTGTAACCCATTGTTTCCGTGATCTCTTATTGTAAAATACCCCAGGGTACCTTGAAACATAACCAGCTTATTTCTCAAGATTCTGTGGGATGACTAGAGTTCATCTGCTGTTTTCGCCTGGGCTCAGTCATGCAGCTGCATACAGCTGGGATCTCAGCTGAACTCAACTATCCCAGATGGATCTGGGCTTCTGTCCACAAGGCCACTCTTTCCAGCTGGGTAGCCAGACTTTTCAGCCTGGCTTCCAAGAGAGGAAGTGGAAGCTGCCAGGCCTCTTAGGACCTGAGCTTGAAAATTCAAGAAAGCCACTTTTGCTGCCTTCTGTTGATCAAAGCAAGTCATAAGACCAGCCTAGAGTTGAGGGAGTAGAGTCACTCCACCTCCTGAGTATGTGCCCATAGAAAGGGGAGGAATTGTTGGGAGGCGTCTTTGGAGACCAACGCCCATTGCGAGAGGAAGTTATAACTCCATGACTGGGATATATTTCAACCTGGACAATTATATTCTGCTTTCTAAAACACCCCTCTATTTTTCACCAAATAAAGTGGCCTTATTTATGCTTTAAAAGCTA